TAAGAACTATCTCTAAATAATAGCTGCTGTTCTTATGGTCCCTCTTCCTGCGTCTCATAGGCTAGTCCAGATATTTTGTTTTTTTTCCAATAAAAGTTTTTAGAAAATTTTTGGTTCAAGTGATCGTTGGAAAGAGTTGCGTAATTTTTTTTTGGTTATCAATATTTTATTATACTGTATTATTATTATATATTATTATTAGTATTACTATTTATTATTATTTATATCATATATATTAGCAATTAATGAGTGAGTATAGAAAACGTTTATATTTGAAAGCTAATATCTCAAAAACTAATACAAAAACCTGTTATTGCGCATTAACAAACACTCATTTTGGATTATATAACATTTTTGTCTTAATAAGTTAGATCGATTAGTATAATAAAATTTTTAGTAATTAGCGATTTTTGATAAATATTCTAAAACTTACTAATTAGTATAATGAAATTTAAATTGAATGTAATATGTGATATATCATGTAATCTTATATATATCACATGATAAATAAATGTTAAATTAATATTTACATAGTCCTAAAACATTATAAATAGCTTCACTTTTTCTCTTTCCTCAACTTAACTTTGTATAAGTTCTTATAATTTGATTGCTAATAATAAAATACTATTATCTTTTGAAAATTAGTATTTTCTTTGAGTTTTTATTTTTTTCTTGCTATCTTTTTTATCATTTCTTAATATCTTTAAAGTGTATAAGGTTTGGATTCCCAGAATCTAATAGTGTTTGCTATATTGCTTGAACTAAGTTTGAACTCTTTCAAATCTAATAAAGCTATACTCCACTTTATTTGCTTTTCATTATTCTATTATAGCTTTACCTTTTAAATATTACTCTCTGCTTTAGTTTTTTAAATTAAACTGCTAGTTATTACTCCCTTTTGCTAGACTCCATCTTGAGCCTATTTATACAAAATAGAGCAATAAATAATATTAAAAGTTATCTTTCTTTGAAAAGTATTTGTTGTATTATAACTTTTTTTTGTATTATAATCACGAATTGAAAATACTTTTATATACTCAATTCTGATTTTATCTACATTTACAGTTTTCTCTTTGTTGTCTTTTTTATTAGCAAAAATATTTTTTATTTTATTTCAAACAAATATATATCTTTATTGTTAAAAATTTGGATATCAAAGAAAACTTTAATGTTTGTAATAGTTACTATTGCTTTCTAACTATTAATAAATAGGCTATATAAACATAAGATATAATAGAGAGTTCTATTGATATATTTATTAGATTTTTCTATATTGGTATATTTTCATGGCTAGCTAAGGCTCATTCAAGAATTGAAATTAATCAATTCTTATTTTCTTTAACTATAGCATTGTGAGTTAGAATTTCTAAATAATCTTCACCTAAATATCTCAATATTGGTTTCACTGCTTCACTTTTTAAAATTTGTAATTAAAAAAAGACTTTGGCCTCCCAGTTATAAAAGGTTCTATTATTTTCTTTCTCTATTTCAAACTTAAAATTTTTTAAGTTTTCTGAGCTTTCTGGTCGATAAGAATGTACTTCTGACTTTGCTAGTATGTAATTGATGTTTTTTTAAAAATTTTAAGTATCTATAGAAGATGTAATAATATCAGATATTTTTTTGTAAATTTATATTATTTGTACAAAAAAAGTTCAAAATGAAAATTAATTCCTTATAATAAATAATATGAAAATCTAATTATATTATGAGACAAAAAATTATACTAAAAGATAATGCTTGGAATATATGGCAAGAAAATTAATATTTCGCATTTATGTAGTAGATATACTATATATACATTATTTTAGTATATATAGCTGTTATTAAAAATTATTTGGTGATAATGAAAAAAAATTGTTGACAAAATTCTTATTAAATTTTATAATTTTGAGTTTATAGAAAGCTTTTAAGATATGTCACTAAAAAAAATCAAACTTTTTTGGCTTTTTTTTTTATTATAGATATATCACATATATATCATATATATCATATATATATACTATAAGTATACATCATGAAGTTTATCAAAGTATTTACTAAGTATTTATAAAATATTTATTTAATATTTAATAAATACTTATTAAATATAAAGTATGTTAGAAATGCAATTATAAATACTTATTTAAAATACTTATAAATATTTAAAAAATTAAATATTTAATAAATATAAAATTTAATATTAATTAAATATTTAAAATTTAAATATTTAAATAAGGGCGTTGTTTTAGGATGACCCCATGATTGACCAATCAAAATCGATCACGTGGATTGCATAACGATTTAATAATTTAAGTATCTTTTATTAAAAAAAAAAAAAAAATTACATAATTATTATACAATGAACGTCGTTGCATAACAAACAAAAAAAGAAAATCTATAACATTTATCCCACCCATAACAAAAAATCCAACACCAAATTTGACAAAGACCACCAACGCCAAAGTTTTAACACCAAAAGTGACAACGGCATCAACAATAGCACCAACGACAACACCAACACGGCGACGAAAGTTCCAACAGCACAAAAAACCAGAAATAAAACTCTAGCACGATCCTTTCAGCAACAAAAGTTCTAAATACACCAAAACACACGCTGACTCCAAGGTGATGACTCTAAGATCGAAGAACGACGACTCCAAAGAATGATGACTCCAAAACTTCGACTCCAAAGAATGACGACTCCAAAGAACTACGACTCCAAGAATGATGACTTCAAAGAACGACGATTCCAAGGACAACTGAGGACAGGAAAGAAAAAAAAAAAGTTAGAGGCAAAAAAGAAAAAAAGTGAAGAAAAAAAAAAAAAAAGTGAAAAAGAAGAAAAGAAAAGGAAAAAGGGGGGAAAAAAAAAGTAGAGAAGAATAGAATGCGGGAAGAAGTGGGAAAAAAGAAAGAAAAAGAAAGCGTAAAGAAAAGTGTAAACGAAAAGTGGAAAAAAAAAAAAGAAAAGGATGAAAGAAAAAGAAAAAGGTAAGGAAGAAAAAAGAGTAGAATATGTAAAGAAAAAAAACAAGCGGGAAAAAAAAAGAAAAAGAAACAAAAGTGAAAAAAAAGCGAAAAAGAAAAAAGGAAAAGTGAAGGAAAAGAAAAAAAAAAAGAACTGAAAAAGTAGAAAGGAAAAGGAAGAAAAGGAAGAAAAAGAAAAAAAAGTAGAGAAGAAAGAATGGAATGCGGGAAGAAGTGGGGAAAAAGAAAAAAAAGAAAGCGAAAAGAAATGTGAAAACGAAAATAAGCGAAAAAGAAAAAAAGAAAAGGAAAAAAAGAAAGAATGGAAGAACCGAGAAAAAGAAAAGTGAAACCGAAAATAAGCGGAAAAGAAAAAAGAAAAGGAAGAAAAGAAAGAATAGAAGAACGAAGGAAAAAGAAAAAAAGAAATCGAAAATAAAATTGAAAACGAAAAGCAGAAAAGAAAAAAGGGAAAAGAAAAAAAAAAAAGATAAAGAAGAAAAGAAAGGAAGAAAAGGAAAAAGAATGAAAAAAGAAGCAAAAGAAGAAAAGAAGAAAAAGAAGGAAAAAAAAAGAAAAAAAGTAGAGAAGAAAGAATTGAATGCGAGAAGAAGTGGGAAAAAGAAAAAAAAGAAAGCGAAAAGAAAAGTGGAAATGAAAAGAAGTGAAAAAGAACAAAAGGAAAGGGGGGAAAGAAAAAAAAAAAGGTAAGGAAGAAAAAGAGTAGAATACGTGAAGAAAACAAGTGGAAAAAAAAGAGAAAAAAAAGTATAAAGAAAACAAAAGTGAAGAAAAAAAAAATGCGGAAAAGAAAAAAGGAAAAGTGAAGAAAAAAGAAAAAAAAAGAAACGAAAAAGAAAAAAGAAAAAAGAAGAAAAGGAAAAAAAAAGTAAAGAAGAAAGAATGGAATGCAGAAAGAAGTAGATAAAAAAAAAAAAAAAGCGAAAAGAAAAGTGGAACGAAAAGAAGCGGAAAAGAAAAAAAGGAAAATGGAGAGAAGAAAGAATGGAATGTAGGAAGAAGCGGAGAGAAAAAAAAGAAAGCGAAAAGAAAAGTGGAAAAAAAAGAGGGAAAAGAAAAAAAGCAGGAAAAGTAAAGAAAGAATAGAAAGCAGGGAAGAAAAAAAAAAATGCGAAACAAAAAAAAAAACAAAAAGAAAAAAAAGGTAAGAATAAAAACCAAGCAGCAAAGAAAAAAACCAAGCAGCGAAGAAAAGCAAGGCAGTAAAGAAAAAAACAAAGCATTAAAGGAAAGCAAGCAAAATAGCGAAGAAAAGCAAACAGCAAAAAAGCGCATATCTGATCCTAAAGTAAAGGTTAAAACGAAAGAACAACAAAAACAAAAAGTCGATTATCAATTGTTTATATGTGATCGGCAATCTCAAAAATGATTGGCCGATCATAAAAGGGTCGCAGTGCAATGGGTCGACAATTTATTTTTGCCTTTAAATAATATTAAATTTGAATACTTATTTAATATTTCTATTTATCAAATATAAAATTGTGCTTAGTTTAATTTTGTAATGTAGAGTATATTATGAATATATATATATCAATAATATGTATATGTATTAGATAACTATAAGATAAAGTTTTATTTCTTTTAGAATCTTACTTTATTTTTATATATTGGCTGATTTTGGAAATTTATATTAGGGCTAGTTTTTTTTTTTTTTTTTTTTTTTTTAAAGAGAGGTCTATCCTCTATTTCTTTTATTTAATAGTTGAATATACATATA